GGCCGATTAGAATAGCTTGCCTTGACGCGGACACTATCTAATGTTAATGATGTCACTCAACACAATCCGGTACAATTGACCTCGCATTCGGTGACGGATTCCAATGACGGCCCGTCTTTAGCGAAATCAGCAAAGTCAGGATGTGCTGAGAGAGCTTGCTGCAGTCTCCCACCGGAAGAAAGCGCAAATGATTTTGGCAGGGGTCGACCTGACTGATATAGGTGGGGCGGAGCCTGGTCACAGGTCAACCTGTCTGTCAAAGACAGACGTGGTGTGATAGGAGCTTCCGCAGTTGGTCACGCCCAAAGCGATTCCCATAGTAAAACACAGAGCGAAGTTAGAAAAAGAACCCTTTATCGGTTGAAACACCATATTTGGTAACTTAATCGAACATTCAAAATGGTGTTTACATGCCTCTCTGTGAGCTCGTATAAGCACATGGATTTCTCCCAGCCAATTAATGGATTTTAGTCTACGTCACAGATAGTGACCCCATGGCATCTGACCAATCAGGAGTTGCCTGGGGCATTTCAAACTTCAGCGTCATTCAAGAATTTGTAAAGTATGGATCTACGCTCCTACCTACTTCCACAAATACGGAAATAGCAACAATGGTAAGTTAATGAAACTCACACATTATATGGTTGAGTAGTTGTGTTAAATGTTGAGATAGATGTCGTTTGTGTAGGATTTCTATAAATTAGTGAACATTGTGGCATGAAAATGGTGTGATCATATAAGGATTCAGGTAAGACTAGTGCACGTGACAGTATGTCCATTTTTAGACATATGCCCGATGCGTCTAGTAAGCCATACTTAGGTTTTTTTTTTATTTTTTTTTTTACAAATATTGCATTATAACGTAGGACAATAGTATGTAATAGTGCATTGCATGTTGCCACAGGTTTGTATAACATTATACAGTGATCCAGTGGGAAACTTAAACCATTTATTGAAATGATCAAGCCATAAATAATGAAATATGTGTACAACCCGAATTCCGGAAATGTTGGGACGTTTTTTAAATTTGAATAAAATGAAAACTAAAAGAATTTCAAATCACATGAGCCAATGCACAAAACGAGCTCATTTCAAATTTGATGCCTGCTACAGGTCTCAAAATAGTTGGGACGGGGGCATGTTTACCATGGTGTAGCATCTCCTCTTCTTTTTAAAACAGTTTGAAGATGCCTGGGCATCGAGGTTATGAGTTTCTGGAGTTTTGGTGTTGGAATTTGGTCCCATTCTTGCCTGATATAGGTTTCTAGCTGCTAAAGAGTTTGTGGTCATCTTTGACATATTTTTTGTTTAATGATGCGCCAAGTGTTCTCTATAGGTGAAAGACCTGGACTGCAGGCAGGCCAATTCAGCACCCGGACTCTTCTACCACGAAGCCATGCTGTTGTAATAGCTGCAGTATGTGGTTTTGCATTGTCCTGCTGAAATACACAAGGCCTTCCCTGAAATAGACGTCGTCTGGAGGGGAGCATACCTGGCAATAAAGCTCATTGTGATTCTTCTTATCTTTAGCCCAGAGGACACGGCGTCCGTGATTTCCAACAAGAATGTCAAATTTGGATTCGTCTGACCATAGAACACTTTTCCACTTTGAAACAGTTCATTTTAAATGAGCCTTGGACCACAGGACACGACGGCGGTTCTGGACCATGTTCACATATGGCTTCCTTTTTGCATGATAGAGCTTTAGTTGGGATTTGCAAAGCCTTTAAAAACAACGTTCCTCAACGTCAAATTGCAAAGTATTCCACAATCTCTTTACACACTCTTTCACAGATTGGAGAGCCTCTGCCCATCTTTACTTCTGCCTCTCTAAGACATCCCTTTTATAGCTAATCATGTTACAGACCTGATGTCAAATAACTTAATTAGTTGCTAGATGTTCTCCCAGCTGAATCTTTTCAAAATGTCTTGCTTTTTCAGCTCTTTGTTGCCCCCATGCCAACTTTTTTGAGACCTGTAGCAGGCATCAAATTTGAAATGAGCTTATTTAGTGGATAAAAGTGTAAAATTTCTCAGTTTAAGCATTTGTTATGTTCTCTATGTTCTATTGTGAATAAAATATTGGCTCATGTGATTTGAAAGTCTTTTAGTTTTAATTTTATTCAAATTTAAAAAAACGTCCCAACATTTCCGGAATTCGGGTTGTAATTTTGGTCAGTTTTATGACCTTATAACAGATTTTATTATACTTAAATGGCATATATTGGTGTTTATTTTTACTGTGAGCCTCATTACTGCTAAAATAAGTGGTACCACCAGTACTTATAGTGCTATTTTTCACAAAATGCATTATAATGTAGAACAATAGTACTCAATAGTGCATTGGATGTTGCCACAGGTTTGTATAACATTAAACAGTGATCCAGTGGGAAACTTAAGCCATTTATTGAAATTATCAAGCCATCAATAGTGAAATATGTTTAACTTATAACAGTTTTTATTATTATAACAATTTTTATTATTATTATAATTATTATTACTACTACAGTTAATATTATTATGGCATATATTGGCATTTATTTTTACTGTGAGCCTTATTACTGCTAAAATAAGTGGTACCACCAGTGCTTAGTGCTATTTATCATGTGTTTAGGAGTTGCAGCAGCCAGAGGCCAGTCATGTCTCGCCCCCGAAGGAGCTCATCATTTCCATGCGCCCCCAGCACCTCTGCTGATGTCCCCAAGCCTGTCCGGGGACACCGCAGCCACACCCCAGATGCTTCTGAGCGATTTAACATGTCCCTGTTTCATACCCCTGTTTACACCAACCGCCAGACCTGCAAGTACTGCAGCAGAAAAGGGGAACATATTGAGGTCAAACGTGTTCTGCAGGGTCCGTAAGGTCCACCTGTGCCTCAATGCTGAACGCAACTGCTTTATCAAGTACCATGAAGAAGTTGCCTAAGTGACTGGACTGAAATTGTGACACGTGAAAAAGAAAAAAAAAATTCTAAATAGAAGAAAAGAATTTCCTAAATTAATATTCTATTAAGTTTATTTACCACTTTTTGGAAAACAAATTACCCTAGTCCGTCAAAGAATTAGTTGCTTAAGTGACTTTGACACATGAAAAAGAAGAAATGTTCCTAAATAAATATTCTATTAAGTTTATATATGTTTTATGTATTTATTTATGTATATTTTATATATGTGTCTTATATTCTTTTTGGGGGGGGGACCATAGACCGGCGAGAAACGATCTATGGTAACTTCATTGACCTTGATTTGCAACATAAAATTTTTTTTTTTTTAAAGTCACAAAAGTCTTGTAATAACCTCCAATAAAACTCCAGGGTTGAAATTTTGAATTTCCAAGTATTTTAACGAGTGCCCTATAAAGGGATAAAAGTCTTTACTGCTGACTCGTAAAAACAGTCTTTTGTCGTCATCTAATGGTGGAACAACAGCCATCATAAAAGTTGCTAGGCAATTCAGTCAAAAGTACAAAGACAGCGCTCTGATATACAGCAGTGAAGTTACATAAAATATAACGTGAAGAGATTTTGCCCTCAGCCAAAACTATTTGCTCTGGAACAAATAATAGATTCATGAGATTAATGAGACTGCCCGTTAGATTAACCCAAAACAAATTATATCTCACGTTTAACCATTATAGAGACATCAGAGTCAGCGGCAAATTCCGTTGATTCCCTGGAGCGCACATCTCCGCAAACGTGAAGCAAATTTTCAAATAGATTTTATCTTTATTAACAAACCGCATATTTGAAGTCTAAACAAGTACATTCGCGCCTCAAAAACTCTTAAAACTAGGGGTTAAACAACTAGTCACTGATGAAGTCATTAATGAACAATTAAGCCTGAACCTTGAGCTAAGACTCGAAAACCTTGTGCACAGCTATGGCATATGACACAGCGCTGCCCACATGGCTATTGGTCCTATAACAGCTCATTTTTATCAGTTCTTTTGTCTTTGGGTCATTATATTTCTCACAGATTTCTGCTCATTCTAAATCAGATACAGATAAAGTAGCACTGTAAAGATTACATTTATGTGAATGCATTAGTGAGAGAGCGATTGCATGTGTGAATTAATTCTATCTGGCAGCGTCTCTCTACTAATAGTGAAGCTGTGGGTTTTAGTTACTAAAAAATGCTATAACTTTTCAGTTTCTAAGCTATATTATTGAGAAATCATAGAACAGTGTTGACAATAAATTTCCGCGCCGTGCTACTGAAAGATTCTGAGTGCTTGCGATCTGCACGTGATGTATGAGCTACTGTCTGTAGCCTATGTGTGTGCGTTACAATGCAGCTGCGCATTACATTAGAGCGGTGATTAACTTACCTGTACAATAAACTGTTTAAACTTGCATTCTCCTGTTCAATGTCGAGCACCCAGATGGTATAATCACACGTCTTGTGGAGCGCTTTTGGGAGTACGCATTTATTTGTCATATTAACTGTTTGGAAACAGAGTGTAAATGTGGACTTCAAAGATTTCTTATTCTGTTACGCCCTCTATAGGACCAGACTAGTCGACCTTAAGCTTAAAGCATCATGGCAGAGCATTAAAGTCAACTAATCGACTAGTCTGTGCAACCCCTACTTAAAACTACATTCTGTGACACAAAAACAGTATTATATTTTAAAATTATAGTGGATTTGGGCGTCCGCCATGACACTCGCTGTGAGAAATACTGCAACCGGAGTGATGCAAACGGTGAATCGGTTGGAGTTCTGTTATCACTCCAATATCACACTCTTATCAGCCAATCAGATTCGAGGACCAGAAAGAACTGTTATATAGATAGATACATAGATTGGCATCATACATTGACAGTTACATATATACTATTGCATTTATAATGAGGGACAGATTTATTTTTTAATACAAATTATGGCCCTAAACCTCAAGATATGACCATATATGAATAATTCATGGCTGAAATGGGTATACATGTATGAAAGAGGTGTCTGATTGTTAAACTAATGCCATGTGGACTGTTGCTGTGTTTGTAGGTTGTCTGGCTGTATGGTGACAGAGAAAGGCTGTCGTTATGTGTCTTTAGCACTGAGTTCAAACCCCTCACACCTGAGAGAGCTGGATCTGAGCTACAATCACCCAGGAGATTCAGGAGTCAAGCTGCTTTCTGAAAAACTGGAGGATTCAAACTGCTCATTGGACAAACTCGAGTATGTCAAGTAGTTTATTATTTCAGTGGCAAATTGTTATTATTTCAACTCCTCAGTGGCTATGTGTGTGTTTTTATATATATATATATATGTCTGAGCACATGGCTCTGTCTTTGTTAGCCATGTGCTCCTCTGGTCCCGCTTCCTAGTTTCTAATTACCACGTCCCTTTGTTTAGTCCTTGTTTGTCTGAGTGTGCTCCCTTTATACTGTGTTCTCTTTCCCTCTTGTTTTGCCAGTTCATCATAAATTTGTGCCACTTTGTGCTATGTTGAGGCTACTTGTGCTGTTGTGTGCTATGTTACAGTTAGTTGTTTGCTAGTAGTAGTAGTAGCTCCTATTTTGCTTATCTGATTGTGTCTTGATCTGCCTTCTGTTCCAGAGTAGCCTTGCTATTGTTAAATTTTTCCCCTTAGTTTTCTCAGCTTTTTCTAGAGTTCTTAGTTTATTGTAGTTTTCCCTTTATCTTACTTTAGTAGTTTGCTTTTTGCCTTTTCTTTTACTAATCCTTTTAGTTTGTTCCAAGCTATAGTTTTCTCTGTTTTCTCTATTAGCTTACTGCTTTAGTAGTAGTTTCTCTAGTGGTTGCATAGCGTTAGTCTCTGCCATCTGTTTTGTCGAGTCTTGTCTTGTGTTTGCTGTGTCTTCTGTCTGTTCCAGTCCTGTCCTGCAAGCTAAGCTTCCCAGGGCACTCACTCTAGCAGTAAGACTGGTGTGGTGCCAGAGATACCCGAGTGTATAGAGTTCCTGCCTGGCCATCGCTGCTATCCTCCGGTCTCGCACCATCTCTGCTCTATAGCCTGCTGTCGTCTTGGGCTGGACGCTGCAGCCACTCTCTTAGCTTGCCTGTTATTGTGCCTCATACCTGCCTGTTGTTTTGACTGTGTTCACCTCAATCCTTGCCTCTTTGTGTCTTGTCTGTTGTTTGCTAATAAATCATGTAACTCATTCTATATACATATTCATGGCAGTGTTAATGTGATTGGTCCTGGCGGAATAGATCTGCTATGCTGCTGCTGCAGATCTACTGCTGCTTCTCCGAAAAGCCATGTGAACCACATGTATTACTATCTATGTGTGCCTGGGCTACCACGCCGACCGGCTTAACCCTTTCACACATGAGTTTAAAATGATATTTATATTTCAGCTTTATGCTGGATAATATAATATTTATATTTCATATTTATGCTGGATTCACCCTCTAAATAGCAATGATTGACATAGTGATAACCATAGCAATAGACGGTACATCTGGAACCAGGCTTGGCCAAGCCTTCACAAATGGCACGTGTCCTGAGCAAGATCCAGTTAACAGACCAAAAAATGTGCAATCTTTATTGAGATTGGGCATATCAACCAGTAATTTAATTTCCAGTTATGAACGGTAGAAATATCAGGAAAGAATGGTATGCGATTTATGAATGGCTTGAATATAATCCCACAACTGATTTTTTTTTTTTTCGCACGTGTTCCGCATTTAGTGGGAACGAGTCCAAAACAGACACATTTCAAGTGATACTAATATCCATAAAGATCCATAAATTTTTTTTTTTGATTATTTTTTTCTCCCCCACCGATTCAAGAGTTAAATGTCACCCATGATTGCTGGTATGTTTAAAGCATGTGTAACATGCTTTATCTTGATTATCTTGTTTTCAAAATCATAATTGAAAATGTAATTTGATTTTGTGTTCGTTTACTGATTAAATGTGACTGTTTTCTAGTGTGGATTATGGAGAAGAGTGCAGGATTAAAGCAGGACTAAAGAAATGTACGTCTACAAAAACACAAACACTCTCTCTCTCTCTCTCTCTCTCCTGTAATGATTGTTGTTGTGTTATAAATATCTCTGTTTCTGTGTTCAGGGTTGTGTTTTTTCACACTGGATCCAAACACAGCAAACACTCGTCTCATTCTGTCTGAGCAGAACAGAAAAGTGACAAATGTGGAACAATATCAGCTGTATCCTGATCATTCCGGCAGATTCGATGTGCATCTTCAGGTGTTGTGTAGAGAGAGTGTGTGTGGACGCTGTTACTGGGAAACTGAGTGGAGTGGAGATGTGTATATATCAGTGTCATATAAGAGCATCAGCAGGAAGGGATGGGGTAAAGAGTGTTGGTTTGGATGTAATGATCAGTCCTGGAGTTTGATCTGCTCTCCTGACAGTTACTCATTCTATCACAACGACATAGAGACTTGTCTCCCTGTGAAGCCCATCATCAGCAGTAGAATAGGAGTGTATGTGGATCACAGTGCAGGAACTCTGTCCTTCTACAGCATCTCTGACACAACAAGTCTCATCCACACAGTCCAGACCACATTCACTCAGCCGCTCTATCCTGGGTTTACTGTTCATTTGAAATCATCAGTGAAACTGTGTTGATGAATCAGAATAGATTGATAAGTTATTATACCCATAATGCTTTGAGCTGCATGATAAATCAGTAACAGTGAGATGTTATAGAGTCTCTTCATGACATTAATACTGCAGCTCAACTTCTGTCACTGAAATAACAATTTGACTGATTTTTACGTAGAAAGGACGACAGCGCACCGCATTAAAATAAATGAACATTCAAGGACAATGAAAGGATCAAAAACAGGCAGGCAAAGATACACTTGTAGTTGAATACAAGCTCATTACACAGTTGTCTCCCATCTTGCATTTTATTGCAGCATTTTGAAGTCTGGCCCTCTTGTACTGTAGTCTTAAAGCATCGTCCGGCACTGTTGGTCCGCTTGAATGCTTTCCACCAAGTTTGGGTTTGTCTGTGTGGAAAGTGGATTTCTTCTGGGTGGACTGCCTCTCTACAACATGTGTAATTTGCTGAAGAATATGTTGAGGCTTTCTGACCTTTCTTTTAAGGTGGTCCAGGAAGTTTTCAAAAGGAAATGCAGACACACAATCTAAGGGACCAAACCTCCTCACATCATCTGCTAGATGACACCGAGAGTGCAAATTGTAGACCATCTCCTCAATGCCATACAAGTTCCTGAACTGTTCAAGGAAGTATCTGATCAGGTTATCTGCATAATCGCAGTATTGGGCACACGGGGTTGGAGAAAGCATCAAATAGATGCTGATGGACAGTGAAAGAAAGTTATTGTAGAGTGGAGTTGGGAGAATGTCTTTTAGTACTACTGGTCCAGTGTACAAGAGAAGCTGTCTAAATTCTGAGAGTGACCTTGGCTTTCGTGCAAACTCACAAGGTATGTACTTTGACATCCTTACAAGTTTTTTGGAGATGGCACTGATCTTAATGGAGCTCTGTCTGTATTTTAGGTCACTTTTGGTCCAAAAATTCAGCAGCTTCCTTGTGACACCAAGGCAAACAACATGCATATAGTCAAGCACGAACTGTGTGACCATTCCTAAACTGTCTAAATTCCGTAGCTTTCCAGCAATCTAATATTGAGAGTGACCTTGGCTTTCGTGCAAACTCACAAGGTATGTATTTTGACATCACTACAAGTTTTTCGGAGATGGCACTGATCTTAATGGAGCTCTGTCTGTAATTTAGGTCACTTTTGGTCCAAAAATTGAGCAGCTTCCTTGTGACACCAAGGCAAACAACATGCATATAGTCAAGCACGAACTGTGTGACCATTCCTAAACGTAATGTGCTCAGTATTGAGTGACCTCTGTGATGATTTCATCACGCTGTTCGGCAAATGACTCGTCTGTTCTCCGGCTGGCATGTGTTTCAGGAAACATAATTTTTCATCCCCCATAGAATCCCTCCTGTGTGCAGCGATCACAACCACTATAGCCTCCAAGCCCCTTTGTTTGTTTTATAAATGATCGTTCTGGAGGATCACAAATTAAGCAGTCCAGGGACTAAGAGAACTTCCTCTCATCTACACTGAAACCTTGTTCAAGAGTGGAAACCTCCTGAACAAAGTCTTGAAGATACTGGTTCGGATTGCGTGATTTGCTATTTCCACAAAAGACCCCTACAACAAATGGATCCCTTTCAAATGGAAGTTTCCCTAAAATTGGCCAAAGTTGCTTTGGAGAACTCTTGAATAATGGTAGTCCATCCACGTTCACCTGCAATTTGATTGTGTCAGGTTGTGACAGCAGACTTTCTTTGTTTTGGATCAAATGTTCCAATATGCCACAATGCACATACTCCCCAGCATCAACTGTTTTCACCTCGCGTGAATGAATCAAAGTCCGTGAACATTTTGGGAGTGAGGGGACGTTTGTTTAAAATTTTAAGTAGGCTGTCAGCTGCATTTTGTCACACCAGACTCTACCACCCATTGACGCAATTCATCTGGCAAGTCTTCAGTTGTCATGTGTGTCACTGAAAAAGGCTTCCTCTTCACTAAAACTGCTGAGACAGTTACTGAATCTGTCATCATCATCATCAATGTCAGTGTCACTGTCAAGGTTTTCTGTGTTGTCTTCAAATATTGAGATGTTATCACAAGTCATGTCTTCATGAGTGAAGCACAAACATCTACATAAAATGTTTGTCAATAACATTTTATGTAAATGTCCCTGCTGAAAAAAACAAAACAATAGAAACCATCACAGAATTTGTAATGGTTTTACTGGTTATAATAGGAATTGTATTGGTTTTAATGGAAATTGTAATGGTTCCTGTTGGTCTCTACTGGATGGTTTAATTTGTCAGGAAACCATTTTGTATTGGTTTTAATGGTTAATAGTTGATGGTTTGTAATGTTTCTAATGGTATTTGTAGTGGAAGCCATAGCATTTCTGTGATGGTTTCTATTGTTTTTTTTTTGTAGACAGTGTAGACGATGCAAATTAGACTTGCCACGATATTGTATTAAAATACCGGTTTTATCTTTAACAACGGTAGTCGGACGCTAGGTGGTGCTGTGCAAGGTGCGCGGAAGCTTTCATATGGACACTGGCCATCAGTCAACATGCAGCACGTCAAATATGACCGAGTGTTGAAAAGACTCTTGCAAAACCTTTCTTTTTATATAACATGTCAAAGATTTGTAGTATACAATTTGCAATGCCAGGATATCGAACAACTATGACCACAACCTCGAGCTTCATTTCCCATGATCATAAACTGAATGGTAAGCTTTTCGTTATGGTTCATTTGAGACCAAAATCTAGAGTAGGGGTTTCCAAACTGCTCCTGGAGTTATCAAGTAAGTCTGAAAAACATTGATTAGCTGGTTTAGGAGAGTTTGATTGACGTCGGAGCTGAAACCTGCAGGACGGCTCTCCATGAGCAGTATTGGAAACCCCTAATCTATATAGTAATTTGCAAAACACCATGCTTCTATACAGAAAAAAAAAAATCAATGTATTTTATGTTTAGACCTGTTATAATGCGGGAGTTCATAGGTGATAACTTTTTGAGGGCAGTTATATTCACTTTTTATCTGTTATTAGTAACAAATGGATTAACTAACTAATGGATTGGCTTGTTTTATGTAAATGTTTACTTTACATTTGTTTAGATATAATTATTGTTATCTATTTTACCCAAAAACTGTGTGATGTGTAAGCACTCATGAAATGTTGTATTTATGTTTCATTTATACTCGAAGCCAGAGGGCGCCCTCTTACTGAAAGTACAAACTGAACATTATAGACGTTTTATGACATTACAGGAAATGCCTTTGTATGGACAAATTTAGCTGAGTGTATCATAGCATTTTAAACATTTTACAGACTTTTTGTTTTTTAACAGTCTTATTGAAGAAATATAAAAGTCAAAGTCAGAACAAAACAAATTTAACATAGGAGATGAATTAAGAACTTTTTGGTTTTGTATGTGAAATTTTGCTAATAAAATAAAAAGGTTAACAATAAATTCTAGATCCTTTTTGCCTTTGTTTTTATAATACAAGATAATATCCTGTAACCCTCTGGGGTCGACAAACGCGCCGGTGCGTTTTCTTACATTTTTTTTTGAAAGCCCCTAAAGGAACTTAAATTACTCCTTTTAGTTTTAAAGGTTTTAAAGGTAGTTTTAAATGTACAGATAAGAGCAATACATCAATTGAATCTGTAAAGGGTCTACTTTTATTTGTAAAATAAAGAAAACAAACAGGGTGCGCTGTCTACCGCCTTGGTCTCCGTGATCTTCATTTTGAAATGCGTCATTAAAATTAACTGAAACTCAGCGAATACTCGACACAAAGACATGAGAGATATATCTATAGAAAGCTTGACATGTCTACTTTTAAACGAAGCAAGTCTTATCGAAAACAAATATTCTGTGATAAAGTAATCCATATGAAACCAA